GACAGGATGGAGAATACTTTATGTGTGTGGGTGGAACTAGCTCTTGTAAAGCACTTGTCTAAAACTCCTGTAACATTTACTTGAATATAAGAAAATTGGTCTTTCATAAAACATGTTGCCATAGCAACTAACTTAACATGGTTAACCGTTACTCTGTCCATCACAGAAAAAGGAAGGTGGAAGCCTGTCAAGGTTTAACATTAAACGTCTTCTGCTCCTCTGCGCAACATAAAGTTAAGTATTTATATTTAAAGCGTTAAGAATAAGACAAACACCATCTCCTTAGTTTCCGCATTTATTATAAAGTTACTAGTATTTTAAAATTATTCAAACATAAAAAGTATTAATTGTCCTCAAATGTCTCCATATTTCACCGAATGTGGCATTTTATTTGGACGTATATCAAACGTCTTTGACTGCATTCCCACAGATTTAGATCGATCCATCAGGATCGACCTAATTTCCTGGGGGTTCACGCTAAATTGCTATCAGCCGAGCATGCACGGAAGTTAATTACCCCCTTACAGCTTTCAGTAGGCGGGACAGACATTTAAGCCGGCTAAGCTGACAGTAATCTAGTGAGACTCCCCACGGGGATAAAAAATCATCCCAGGATATGCGGTCGACTTGATTGCAGTGGATCAAGAAGAATGCAATTGATTGAGACAATCAACAGCAAGGGGTGGTGGATGTGATGAGTAGTCAGCACAGCACATACCCGCTTTCTAAAAGCAAAAGCAAAGATAACATCGCAGATTTCATTAACTTGCACGTTCAGGAGCTCGGCCAATCATTGCGCAGACATGAGAAATCATAAGCTATAAACCTGTATAAAACATAAATATCCAGGTACACGCATATAACTCGCAGTCTAATTTCAGAAGAAGATTACACATCGCGCGAACGCCATAATGTCTTCTATTGTCTTCCTCTTGATGCTGGCCGCCTACACGGTAACAAACGCAGACGCCGGGCTAGGAAAGAATAAGGATGAAACTGCTACAAGGAGGATCCGCTTTCCTAAACCAGGCCGCTGTAACGTGAGACCCTTGAGGAACCTTGCTTGGGATAAGGTTGGTACACCTTCTTTTGTGGATCGGAGAGTCAAATAAAGAAAACCCTGAACTATAAGTGTGATTGATGCACGCAAGCTCCTTCATTTTTAACACGCCATATGCGCACGCTTATTCTTTGGCTGTCAACGACAAGCTGGTGATTAAGTTTACCGCGCAAGCGCAAATGTGCAACATTTGTAGAAAGGGAAATGGCGTAGTTTTATGTTTGTAATATGCGATTAAAATGCCCGAAGTTATATTTTAATGTCTAAAAATCCTGCAAAGTTACTTATATTTCCCCATCCAGACTTTCAAAAAGATGTCCCCTTTCCTTCAAATAAAAGGAACTGGAGTCAATATTTTTTTCTAAAAGAAATATCAACCACTTGTCGAGCAATGACTAGTGAGTACTAGTGAGTAGCAGAAATTTGCGTTTCTGCCGAGGAAAATTCTAACGGTCAAAATATAGACATTGATAAAAAAGGTGTTACGGATCAGAGTACCCAATGCCAGCAAAAATCAATGACAAAAGATTTAAAAAAGTTTTAATATTTTATTAAAACTAAATAAACTAATGACAATAACAATAAGCTATTCTTAATACACAAATAAACCTATCTGAAAGCATGAAGTGTCCTGTGTGAAAGTCCGATGTGAATCCGTCGACTGGAGATTGAATGGAGATAAATCGGCTCAAAGTTCAGTGAAAGTGTCCGATGAAATCCCACAGTAATTACGATGCAAGTTCCAGTAGAAAATATGAGTGTCGGTTCAGTGGTAAATAGGTTCCAAAAAATAAAATATTCTCCTTCAAAAGTCCCAAAATAAAAAACATCCGTTCATACTCCAGCGTCTGTCTAAACTAACGCTCTCGAGATACTCATGCTCTCGCGATATGGTGACGTCATAAGCTGACTTACTTATACACAACAAAGGTCTATTATTAAAGAATATACCTTTTTTGCTTTTGGGGTCATTTTTGGAAACCAAATAAGGACAGTAGTCTGGTCTTGTGCAAGTGGGGGTTTTAGCAGTCTGGATATTATTGAAACATGACATTTGATATTTTGTGGACTCTTTGATTTGAAATTTAGCAACCCAGTTGGGCAATTGACAGATTTAAGTATTGATATAAAAACAAGAATTGTATCATTTTGGAACAACATAAATCCAAGTAAAAAGCGGCTTGATTAAATACCAAAATATCACCTGAAAAGTAAATCTTTAGTTTTTAATTTTTGTGATTAAGTAAGTATTGTCCAATAGGTCTATAAAAGGATGGTTCTAATTTACACAAAAATTAACGGATCATTTTTCCAGGATGGAATTTCAAAGTGCAACAATAAATAAATAAACAAAGATTCGAATTCGAACCGTATGATCTTTACAAATTTAACACTTTAATGTCAAAAGGTTGCATGTCAGGCTGGATTGGTGGAAATAGTATGTTTTAACTTTACAGTCAAGTTTGAACTAATTCAGATGTGATGAGGCAGGTTGAATTTTAAGTATGGAAGTTAATTTAAAATGCAAAATAAGGAATAAAAGAAGAGACAGAGAGATACAGTGCTAGGGAGAAAATACAGAGAGCCAGATCAAAAGACACACACACATACACAGAGAGAGTTTGGCAGTTATAGAGAGTTCTGGAGAAAAAAAAACATTTTTCAGAAAATTATAATTGCCTGTCTCAGTTAATTTTTTGCCGAAAATCAACAAATAAAGAACTTGAATGGCCAAACTGGCTAGTTATTATACAAAGTGATAATCGTTTAAGCTAAGTATGTAGGTAGAACTAGAACCATACATTGTATATGAGTACCACTGTTCCTGTGTTCCTTTCAGAATGCTGGTAAATTCACATGGTACAAAGGGGTTTTGATGTCTTTTGATGAATTGCTTAAGCTCTTTGATGATATACTGTGACTTTGTGTTTTACCAGGAAAATTGATTTCGTAGAAACATACATATGCTGGTAGCTAAATGCTTTAATCTTTTTCTTTTTTTGTTTTGTTGAAAGTATCCTCACCTGAGAATAAAANTAGCCTACAGTGCTAGGGAGAAAATACAGAGAGCCAGATCAAAAGACACACACACATACACAGAGAGAGTTTGGCAGTTATAGAGAGTTCTGGAGAAAAAAAAAACATTTAGCAGAAAATTATAATTGCCTGTCTCAGTTGATTTTTTGCCGAAAATCAACAAATAAAGAACTTGAATGGCCAAACTGGCTAGTTATTATACAAAGTGATAATCGTTTAAGCTAAGTATGTAGGTAGAACTAGAACCATACATTGTATATGAGTACCACTGTTCCTGTGTTCCTTTCAGAATGCTGGTAAATTCACATGGTACAAAGGGGTTTTGATGTCTTTTGATGAATTGCTTAAGCTCTTTGATGATATACTGTGACTTTGTGTTTTACCAGGAAAATTGATTTCGTAGAAACATACATATGCTGGTAGCTAAATGCTTTAATCTTTTTCTTTTTTTGTTTTGTTGAAAGTATCCTCACCTGAGAATAAAAATAATTTGTTTAACACCAAAAAGGAACGAACGTTACTGTCACAAATGGGAAAGTGTTAGCTGCGGTAGTATTTTGCTTACTTTGAAGATTCGATCAGCATGGTTCTTTAATTTTTCCCTACAAGTAGGCCTATAACGATGTAAAAACATGGCAAACATCTGTATAGAAAAATTGCACGATTCTAGTTTGTTTTTCACTGAATATTACACAAAGATAAAATGCAACATGCAGAAATATAAAATGAACTAGTTTTTTATTCGTGGCGCAAAAATCGTATCTGAAATATCAAACTATACACAAGAAAACACTATATATGTTGCAGTCGACAACAGAAAACCCCTATTACCTTTTGCACCAAATGCTTAAACAATAGTGATTTTTTTTCTGGAATTTTTCTGGGGAACATATGTTACGTACGTTTTAGACATGACTTAACGCCCTAAATTAAAAAAATGTTATTTATAGCTGCAAGGAGAATGGTGGGAAATGGCCATCACCAGACTTTCTACACATGACGAAGAGAGGTACTTGCAGAACTACCATCAACGTATGACGTATGTCGGTGAGGGGGACGCTGTGTATGCCGCCAATGGGACAGGAATGTAAGTGTGTTTAGAACTGCGACAGGTGTATCATGGTTACTGCTAAAGTATTTTGATGTGAGACAATATTGTGATAGGTGGGATTTGCTGGTTCCAAAGCATTTCTTAAAGCGTCCTTCTGTCAGTGTCAAAGAACAACTGGAGGATCTGCTTAGAAGGTTGAGTTTGTCAGATGCGTTAAGACGTTAATTGATAACTGTGATAGATGCGAGTTTGTTTGAATAAAAATATGCGTTTCTTATTGTACTTCAGTTGGTCCAATGAATCAGGATGTCTGAAATGGAATTATACCTATAAAACGACAAAACAACCGGGTGTACTGGCAGCCGTAAATGAGGGTGAGAAAAAAAAAAAAAAACTAATGGATAACGGAATATTATTATTTTTTATTTCATTTTTGTTCCATCAACTTTCTTGGTCATTTTTAAAGGCAAAAATTACATTGGCACTATTTAAAAAATAATCTAGAGTTTTAATTTTTTTTGTTTCTTTTTGTCTTGACCAACTATCTAGCGAAAATATTTTTCATGAATTCGCAATATGTTACTTAGTTTTTGTATGCAATAACGATTTTTTAAACTATTCTAAAAACACTTTAAATTTCTGTGCCTAGTTTCTTCGATTAATACGCTGTATTACGTTTAGTACTTTCTTCTGTCTTTACTTTTTTTAAAATTATTATCATTATTATTATTTTTTTGCTGTCCTGTTCTTCATTTGACTGTCCTATCTGTTTGCAGACGGCAAAATCCTATTTGAAGGCTTTGTCGTTGACATTGCCTACGACTACTACATGTATATGTGCGCCAAGTACTTTGCCGACTTAGATGAGTACCGGTTTACCCTTTGGAGCAAAAAAATGTTCTTCAGCGCTTCTGAGGTGGTCAACATAGTTAACCGTATCTCATCGGATCCTTGTCTTAGAGAAAAAAGGTTTTATCCAGTTGTGCAAGACGGACGTAAGTAGATGAACAAATGGCGGGTAATTCAGTGTGTGCGTGCGTGCGTGCGTGTGTGTGAATGTGCATTTGTTGTGTGTGTGTGTGTGTGTGTGTGTGTGTGTGTATGTGTGTGTGTGTTGGAGGGTGCTTTGTGTGTGTGTGAGAGAGAGAGAGAGAGAGAGAGTTTTTTACTGAATGTGAATTGACGGGATTTTGACTTTTAAATATTTTAAAAATTCCGGGGAAAGCTTTGTTAAAGACTATGGCTGCAAGGATGACATTGTATTAAACCGCTACAGTTCTCATCTTTCAGTATTTTTTTCCTCAGGGTGCGGCCTACCTCCAGGGCAAGAGTGAAACGCTTAACAAAACATCGCACCCAGACAGTTCCTGAAGAGAACAATTTAAGATTTTGAAATCATGTAACGTCGCATGTATTGAATAAAAAGCCGATATTCTTCATTCTTTACAGCTTAACTTGGTTATAACAAGGAACCTAGATGTATTTTGTTTTTCATATATCGCGTTCGTTTCTAATTTTTCCTGGCAAACATGTAGAACTCAGCGTTAAACGTGCAGTAAACGTGATTTAACATACAGATTTTACATACTGAAGACTAATTCTTCCCCTTTCACATGAAAGCACCACCATTGTAATCCAACACATATTTTGACAGACTTTCATACCAAAGATGATAACCCATTGCTGTTACCCAGCATCGTGGACGTGTTGATATATATCCTTTTATTCATGCTATTTTCATTCCTATTTCCATCATCAATTTCTGTTTTCCTGAGTTTAATATTCCCTGCTTCCTGTCATATTTATTACCCGTGATGAATTAACGAAATGTGCAAAATCGTGTGTAACTATTTCCTAGTGCAACTCTTGCCTCACATATCACGGGCTAGGTGGTACTGGAATAAAATAGTAAGTTAATAATCAGAGACAATTTTGAGTACTTTCCCTCTGTCCAGCAACGGCGTCTTATTATTAGTCATTAAATCTACAATAAATGGTACTACAAGGCTGGTGTATACATTATTAAGTCAGCGAGTTGGGGTGAGGCCCATCTTTATGTTGATCCGTCACACACGATATTAAGGTTTTAAAATTACTTCGTGCCGCACAAATCACTTTTATTCTTCAGCGCATTCTTCGAATCCTTTACTCCTCCATAAACTTATGTATGTCCATTTGTTTAACTATATTTTATATTTGTCTACCGGTAAACTATTAGTACAGTTTACGAGAAGAAGCCTCTCTCTCTCTCTCTCTCTCTCTCACACACACAATATACATATAACAAATATTATGCAATAAAAGGCGAAAATGGTGATAAACAATACAGTTGATGGTAAGGTGTTTAACAGATTATATAATACTTAAAGAATAGAGAGACTTATTTTGCTCAGTTTAATAATTACACGAAAACTTTTATGTCGAACGGAGTCACCGGGATATTCGACACGGGGAAGGTAATGGTAATTATGCAATTATGCGATAAAGCTAAGAAAATATAATAACGTAATGAAAATTAACTGAAAACAAAGATGTAATTATTGACAGATTAAATTACACACTGCCACTTGTATTCTCGTATTGCAGCATACCCTTATATAACTTTACTGTGTATTGAGTCGTTAGAATGCGTGTGGATTAATAATAATAATAATAATAATAATAATAATAATAATAATAATAATTTATTGTCATATTTATACAAGTATAAAATGAAAATTGGTATGATCTGTCGATAGATGTAATACAGTGGAATTATTAAAATACATCTTGTTCATTAAAAATACGTACTGCTGATGGATAAAAACTATTTTTAGTGCGCGTGGAGGTTGCTTTTAATGACCGTAGTCGGCTTTTTGACATATGCATAAGCAGGCTATTCGCTGGGTGACCAAGGTCACCCGTGATTGACTTCACTTTCTTGAGCACTCGTCTTGTATACAAACATTCAATAGACGGTAAGTCCCTACCTACAATGCGCCTGGCAGTTTTTACTACGCGATTGAGGCGATTCTTGTCCTCTGCTGTAGCACTACCGTACCAGACGGTGAAAGATTGTGTTAGTACACTCTCAAACATTGCCCGGTAAAATTTTGCCAGCAGTTCTTGATTAGTAACACAGAACTTAAAAAAAAAGACCAGTAATAAATTGCTATGTGTTTTTGTCTTTCTTTTTTATTATTTTGGATAAAAGATAATATGTTTTGGTATCTTGTCTTATATAGGATATTAATGATTCATAGACATCGTCTGTATTCGAAAATACTTGATTCTTGATTTTAGCACCCTGACAGCGAATTTTAGTGTCTGTTTTTTTTTTTAAATAATGGTACTATTCTTCTCAATGGTATTACAAGGTTTTAGCAAATGTACCTGGCTGAACTTCGATGATGTGGTTATTGAATTAACTGTTATTACTATCATAGAAAACAGGGTGCATTCCACTTAGCAATAAGTAATACTTTTCCTGTTGGAGTTAGTAACCAGGGACTGGTCCAGGATCAGCCAGGGTGATTGGATGATCCAGGGCCTTAAAAACGGGTGCCTTTTATTCATGCTATTTCCATTTTTAATTTCATTGTCAACGTTTGGTGTCCTTTTTCCCCTGAATTCGGTATTTCCTGATAAGTTCATTTATATCTGAAATGATTCCAATTAAAGATGGTTTTAGACAAACATAACACTATTTGACCTTTTATCAATGCTATTTCCATATTTTTGTACGTACATTTGTTTTCCTGCTTCTCCTTTAAATCATCCTACGTTTATTACTCATGGTTATATAAATTTTTGCTATAAATAAGAACTTGAAAACTAGCTTTACGTAGTCAGTTCATCCGCGACTGGTCGTCAGATTGACAAGGCAAGACTTCTGACAATATTGTTTCAGTGATCAGCTTTCATAAAACAGGTAGGCTGTAGGTTTGTGATCGTGTATTTCTCTGTGGATTCAAGTAGACTAGGACAGATGTGGGGCTCTAAAGTAAAATAATCATTCTATTTTTTTATCATAACTTTTTTCAAAAATATTTTTGAAGTGCTTCGGATATGATTTATATTGACACAAGTATTATTCAAAATTAATTCTATGCGGGCATTGAACGTCTAATCAAGATGATAAGTAAAACAATAAAACATAAAATATAATGATTTCGAATGCGTTGTTATAGCTTGAAAAAAAAAAAACGGTTTTTATCGTTCTTGTAGAAATAACTGAAGATGTTTTCCCTGTGTATTGCCGCCGTTGCTGTGTTGGTCTCTCTCAACCTTGTCCACGCTCAGGAGACGGGCACCTGTGAGTATTTGTAATTATTGAAATTTTCATTCTTTTTTCGGAAGATGATATCTCTTGCTACAGTCCACACTTCTGCCATTCAAATCGGCTGTATCAATTGTATTTTAGGTTGAAATACAACTTTTATCTTATAAGAGTACAGTTGCTACATATTAAAACCAACTGAGACCGTCCAAATATCAAAATTACCCAAAATTAACAATGAAGTACACTAAAATTTAGATGATATCATTATTTTAAGAATCTAGTATGATGTTTAAATATATAGATTTCAAAAGAAAACCCGACGTATGGTTTGTGCTTCGGGAACAACGTTTAAAATGATCTGTTAGATGACATTTTCGTAGAACATGTAACATGTATCGTATTCAAAAACACAAAATTACGTTAACTGAATTTAAAAACATCTCTGCTATGTTAGTCTTAAAAGGAAAGAAATTATTTAATCAATGCTGGAAAATATGAAGTAAGTATCTGGTTGTAAAGCGGCATAATTTTCAGATTCAAATGTTGAATATTGATTATGATATATGAAAATAAAACAGATAAAAGATAATGATTGGCCATTATTTGCCCACTGATATTTAAAAGCTTTGACATTCAAACATATTCAAGGTAAAAAATAAACTAAATCTTGATAATTATTTATTTACTTTATTTTATTGCAGTTGTGCGTCTTCGATCCCAAAATGAACCCGATTATACTTGGGGACTCCATTCTAACGGCGACGCATACATCATGAAAGGATTCAGTGGAAATTTTTTCCGTATTGTCCCAGGGTTAAGCGGACAACCAGACACCGTGTCCTTCAACTCAGTGGATTACCCGAGCTCCTATCTCCGTCACCACGGTTTCTTGGTGAGCCTCGAAAGTTCAAAGAACCCAAGGAATGGTCATATGTTCGTGAAGGACGCCACGTTCTACCCTCGACCTGACAAATTTCTTCAAGGATACACGGCCTACGAGTCTGTGAACTACCCTGGGCACTTCATCCGCCATGCTGGCCACAGACTGGAGATACGTAGATACGACGGCTCTCTCCTGTTTAAGAGGGATGCCAGTTTCAAAGTTGAGCCAATTGGTACGTAGACAGTTTGTTATTTACAACTCAACTTGTGACGAATTTTGTTGATCTTCTGTGTAGTTGATATGGTGCGCCCAATCAGCGTTTTGTCTGTGAAACAAGATGGTATAGATGAAAGGAGAGATCTAAAATACCATAATTTGTTGTCAAAATTCATACGAAAGAGCATTTATAATTTAAGACCGCGTTGCCATTGCGTTGCATGCATATACAGTATTTACTGGAAGAAATTGCTTAAATAATTCTTTATATTTCAGAATTGCTGGAAAAATGTGACAGTTTAATTCCTACTCGCCATATGGCAAGGGCAGAAACGTTTGGTGCACGTCCAAATAAAATACCATATTCGGTGAAATTATTTATGGAATAAAATAGTGTATTAAACATTTTATTGAAGAATTATTTTTGGATACTTTTTAATTCAATTAACTAACGATCTTTTAAAATTGGTGGAATGGAACAGTGATCAGTATAGGGCTTACATAAAACATCTTAAATTCACTATTGCTTGTAACAGAGCAAACACACGTGAATTCACACTCTAATAGCACGTGACGTCACTTTCGCCAGCCCGTCGTTTCTTTTATTAGCTGAGACAACGCTATATCAAACCATACAAACAAACAATGAATGTTTGACGTAGAAGCGATCTTTAACAAACAAATTTGGTTCGTTTTACATGTTATTTTTTAGCAAGCCAATATACAGTGCATTTAGATTAAGACATAAACATACATATATCTATAAAACTGATGAAACTAAAATATAATTCAACTGAGTAGAATATCTTTTAGATTAATTGCTTTATCCTAAACAATTTTGTAGGACTCGAGATCTGGAATTACGCGTAAGTGGACGGATACCATCAAAGATACGCAAAAACTAAAACAAAGAGAGAATTAATATTGCATCATGACCTTTAATATTTTGAGGAACGAAAGCAATATTAAAACATCTTAAACCAAATTATCCTCATTATTTAAAAAGATGATCAAAAGAAATAATAACATGAAACTTTAGCTCATTTCTCGGTGTGCTAGTTGTGCTAGGTAGCATTGGACTGCAAGCATATTTATTTTTAATTATTTCACAAAACCTTTAAAAGTATGCCAATGGATATTAAAGAATAACCGAGGCATCCTATTTCCCCACACAACCACCACGGTGCGACGCTTTTGGATGAGCAAATCATAGTTTTTTTTTCAAACAAGTCGTCTAATTCGGAAAGAAGTGCATTAAATTAAATTAATATATATCTTTACCTTACATACTTAATCAATACAAAACGGTTTATATGCTTCTCAAAATTTGTGTGAAATCAGATATGGCAGCTGTATCTTCTCGTACAAAGAGGAGACATTCTGACATGTATTTGTTTTGATTTTTTTTCACACCCGACAGGATGGAGAATACTTTGTGTGTGGGGAACTAGCTAGTAAATTGGTGTTTCTGTCCATAACAGTCCGCCAACGTTTAACATTAAACGTCTTCTGCTCCACTGCTCAACACAGAATGTTAAGTCTTCAGTTACTATTATTTTAATATTATTCAAACATAAAAAAGTATAAATTGCCCTCAAATGTCTCCATATTTCACTGAATGCGGCATTTTATTTGGACGTATATCAAGTGTCTCTGTCTTTGGGATAGTAAGGGCTTAAGTGTGGCATCTTTCCAGTAAATCTGAAAACAAAAAAATACTTTTCGTAATTTTTTCTGTAAGCACCAAGCAAAAACAAAGGTAAAAACAGAGAGAGAAAGAGAAAAAATGCCACGGTGGGCAATAAAAATTTATACACACAAAAGATTATCAACTACACGGAAGACCAACAAAATTCGTTTATACAGACAAAACGCTGATTGGGCGCACCACATCAACTTCGCAGAAGATCAACAAAATTCGTTACATGTTCAGTTGTAAATAACTGTCTACGTACCAGTTGACTCAGCTTTGAAACTGGCATCTTTCTTAAACAGGAGAGAGCCGTCGTCCCTACGTATCTGCAGTCTGTAGCCAGCATGGCGGATGAAGTGCCCAGGGTAGTTCACCGACTCGTAGGCCGTGTATCCTTGAAGGAATTTGTCAGGTCGAGGGTAGAACGTGGCGTCCTTGTCGAAGATGTGAGGATTCCTTGGGTTCTTTGAACTTTCGAGGTTCACGAAGAAGCTATAGTGCCGGAGATAGGAGCACGGGTAGTCCACGGAGTTGAAGGACACGGTACCTGGTTGTCCGGTTAACCCGGGGACAATATGGAAAACATTTCCACTGAAGCCTTGCTTGATGTATACGTCGCCGTTAGGATGGAGTCCCCAAGTATAATCGGGGTAATTTTGGGATCGAAGACGTACAACTGAAATTTAATAAAGCACACACGACATAATATTTTATTTTTCCAGCTTAAGAACTTTTATATCTGTTTGAATATAAGTGGGGAAATAAAGGTACTACTGTTTTATTTTGATCATTAATTTAAGAAGTAAAATGTTGCAGCCTGCAATATCAAACAGCAGGATCCACAAAATGTGTAAGTGAAGCCATTTACAGAAAAACTCTTACTTCATATATATCAGGGACTATCCGATATTTTGTTTAAAATTTCAATGAAATTCGAGTAAATGACTACCTTTAACAGATAATTATTTATTTATTTATTTATTTATTTATTTAGCGTCTTCAATATTTGATAAACATAAAAATCATGCTTCTTTGTGCCAGGTAACTTATGTCCACAAAAATTGTAACGAACTGTCACTGTACTCGAGCTACAAACCTAAATTATATCTATATCAAATCTATACAATAAGTTATCCTGTTCCAAAAGATAAAAAACAAACACTGTAGTCATATGAATCCCATCTTCTTAATTATAGGTCGGTAATTTGAGATCTGCTTTTGATTTTTGGCAACTGTGCTGATATAAGCATTGCCTAACAGAAATAATCTGACTGAAAATTTAATTTAAAAAAATGTTGTTTTTTTTACAATTATAAATACTTACCGCTCTGTTGGGCGGGAACGAGAGGGAAGAATAAAACAGCAACGGCGGCAAAACACATGGAAAACATCTTCAGTTATTCTTTTGGGAAACATAAAAATCGATTTTCAGATGAAAAATTGTTTAATAATAAAAATGAACATGAATTCCTGTCTTTTTTTAACTACACACACAATATTTCTATCTAAATTATTCTAAAGGCCAAAACATTAAAAAGATAATAATAATAATAATAATATTATTATTATTATTATTATTGAGGTAGCGGATTTTCTTAGTTTCTACATCTTAACAAACCTGTTCGAGTTCGGGACATTAAATAAAAAATGTACACGTTTTAGAAACTGAAGGCCTACCTGTTAACGTAGTTTGGTCAGTAAGATATCACAAATGTTTCAAAAGTCTTGGTTTTTGTCGACCAGACGATGAAAAGTTGACTGTGCCAAACCAAATTTTCAAGTTCTTATTTATAGGTCTACCAAACTCGTAGGCTGTAAAAATGTTCATAATTAAGTTGTGCGGCCCACGCCGTGCCGCTTTTAAGTACTTGTCATGTCACGATCATCATGCGAAATAGGCTTTGTCCATCCCAGTGCGGTTTTTCTTTCCTCAAACTGCAAGCCACATCCGCTTTGCATCCTTTCGTCATATCTGGAGTCTGAAAACAAAAACATTGCTTTGTTAAAACACTTTAAACGCCCAAACCCAATATAGAGGTGGATTTCACATGCTGAAGTGTCCAAAAATAAAATTGAATGAATTCAAAGTTGTATTCAATTTTTTTAAACAGGGGAATAATAATTTATCTAAAGCTTATTTTACTGTCGGTAGGGTGTATTTTCCTTTTTTAAGTATTCAGTGACAAGCAAACTAAAGTCGTCAAAAAACAACCAACTGCTCTATACAGAAGATTATAATTTTTACAATTATTATAATTTTTATACTTGTAAGAGATATCCAAAAACAAAACCAGTGATGACTGAATTTTCAAAGTGAGTAGAACGTTTCACAGATGGCCGTTTTGTACTTGTGACAGTAACTTATGTTTCTTCTTGGGGATAGACGATGAATTATTTTTTATTATTCATGGTTCCAGGACAGCAAAACTTTGATACAAACTTCTTCGTTTGGGACCCTAAAATAATCAAACATAGTTTGCAATCTATGTCTTTGACCTCAATTGCACCTCTATATTGGGTTTGGTGCCATAGGCCTACATACATCTTTTACGTATCTTTTATGCATGGAAAACATTCCCCCCATTGATCACGATTAATGAGAATTGTGCTCATGATAATGCCAATTCCACATATTGTCTACGTAAATCTTTGGTTTTTAAATGAGAATCTTTTATTAATGGTGATAAAACCACCGTCCGAAAAATACCATGTAGGTCAATCGGGACAAGTTACTTGGACGAATAAAACGACCTAAATACTCACTCTTATTCAAAAATAAAAATAATCATAGTGATGATGTTGTCACTGGCTGCCATTGGTGATGACAAAATCAATGAGCAGCACCCTGTAACCAGAACAAGGACAAGATCAGGAACCAGGACAAGACCGCCTCAATAGCCTAGGCAGGCAGATGAATCTTACCTTAGACTGGGTTCCGATGCCTAGATCGATCCATCTGGATCGGTCTAACTCCCTGGGGAGTCTCACTAATCTGCTATCAACTTAAGCGGCTTGATTGTCTGTCACGCCTACCGAATCATCTAGGGGGTAAAAATAATTACTCCCTAACAGCTTTACTAGCGTGCCAGAAAATTAAGCTGGTTAAGTTTGTAGCAAATATTGTAATAATGATCTTCTGTGTAGTTGATATGTTGCGCCCAAACAGCGCTTTGCTTGTGAAACAAATGGTATAAATGGAATGAGACATTGTTTGTCTTCAAAATTCATGAGTGTTTATGAATGCATATACTTACAGGAAGAATTTACCAAAAAAATTATAATTGTATTTTCAGATCCGCTGGAAAGATGTCTCAGTTAAATTCCTGACAGCGACTTTAAGAGTGTCTGTTTTTTTTTAATTTTTTAATTTTTATTTATTTATTTATTTTTTTTTTGGTACTATTCTACTCAATGGTGTTACAAGGTTTAAGCAAACTTCGATGATGTGATAAATAAATTTACTGTGATTACTGTCATAGAAAACAGGATGTGTTCCACTTAGCAGTAAGTAATATTTTTCCTGTTGGAGTTAGTAGCCAGGGATTGGGCCAGGATCCGCCTGGATAATTGCATTATCTTGGTTGCCTTTAATTCATGCTAATTCCATTCTTAATTTTATTTTCAACGTTTGGTTTCCTGAATTCGGTATTTCCTAATTAGACGTGGTCATTTACCTAAATGTGCAAAATTATGGGACTACAAATATGCATCTGAAGTGATTCCAATTAAAGATGGTTTCAGACAATTAATAAAACACAAATCATGAGGATTTTAATAGCGGTCGTGTCCTCATGACATTATTTGTCTTTTTATCAATGCAATTTCCATATTTTTGTACGGAAATTTGTTTTCCTGTTTCTCCCTTAAATCAACCTAGGTTAATTACCCGTGGTAATATAAATTCTCGCTATAAATAAGAACTTGAAAACTTGCCATACGTAGTGAGTTCATCCGCGACTGGTCGTCAGATTGAGAAGACTCCTGACAATATTGTTTCAGTGATCAGCTTTCATAAAACAGGTAGGCTGTAAATTTGTGATCGTGTATTTCTCTGTGGATTCAAGTAGATAAGGACAGATGTAGGCCTCGCAAGTAAAATGAAGAAATAACTGAAGATGTTTTCCCTATGTATTGCCACCGTTGCTGTGTTGGTCTCTCTCAACCTTGTCCACGCTCAGGAGACGGGCACCTGTGAGTATTTGTAATTATTGAAATTTTCATTCTTTTTTCGGAAGATGATATCTTTTGCTACAGTCCACACTTCTGTCATTAAAATCGACTGTAAAAACTGTATTTTAGGTTGAAATATAACTATTATCTTATAAAAGTACAGTTGCTACAACTCTCAAAATTACCCAAAATTAACAATGAAGTACACTAAAATTTATATGATTTCATTATTTGAAGAACCTAGTATGATGTTTAATTATACAGATTTCAAAAGAAAACCCGACGTATGGTTTGTGTTTACGAGCACGTTTTAAATAATCGGTTAGTGAGATTTTCGTAGAACATCTAGCCTGTTTTTTATGCTTATCAAGTATCCGAAAACACAAAATAACATTTACTGAATTTAAAAACATTTCTGCTACGTTCGTCTTAAAAGGAAAGAAATAATTTAATCAATGCTGGAAAATATGAAGTATGAATCTGTTTGTAAAGCGGCATAATTTTCAGATTCAAATGTTGAATATTGATATATGATATGATATATGAAAATAAAACACATAAAAGAAAATGATTGGCCTTTATTTCCCCACTGATATTAAAAAGCTTGACATTCAAACATATTCAAGCTCAAAAATAAACTAAATCTTGATAATCATTTATTTACTTTATTAAATTGCAGTTGTGCGTCTTCGTTCCCAAAATTATCCCGATTATACTTGGGGACTCCATCCTAACGGCGACGCATACATCAAGCAAGGCTTCAGTGGAAATGTTTTCCATATTGTCCCCGGGTTAACAGGACAACCAGGTACAGTGTCTTTCAACTCCGTGGACTACCCGTGCTCCTATCTCCGGCATTATGGATATTTTGTTAACCTTGAAAGTTCAAAGAACCCAAGGAACGCTCACATCTTCGACAAGGACGCCACGTTCTACCCTCGACCTAACAGATTTATCCCAGGGTATACGGCCTACGAGTCGGTGAACTACCCTGGGCATTTCATCCGCCATGCTGGCTACAGACTGCAGATACGTAGAGACGACGGCTCTCTCCTGTTTAAGAAAGATGCCAGTTTCAAAGCTGAGCCAATTGGTACGTAGACAGTTAGTTATTTACAACTGAAATTGTAACGAATTTTGTTGATCTTCTGTCCAGTTGATATGGTGCGCCCAATCAGCGTTTTGTCTGTGAAACAGGATGGTATAGATGAAAGGAGAGATCTAAAATATCATAATTTGTTGTCAAAATTCATGCGAAAGGGCATTTTTAATTAGAGACCGCATCTCTCTCTCTCTCTCTCTCTCTCTCTCTCTCTCTCTCAGGTGTGTGTGTTTGCCATTGTTTTACATGCATATACAGTATTTTCGGGAAGAAATTGCAAAAAATAATTCTTATAATTTCAGAATTGCTGGAAAGATGTGGCAGTTAAATTCCAAATCGCCATATGGCAAAGGCAGAGACGTTTGATACACGACCAAATAAAATTCCATATTTGGTGAAATTATGTATTTATGGAATAAAATAGTGTATTAAACATTTTATTGAACAATTATTTTTGGATACTTTTTTATTCAATAAACTAACGATCTTTTAAAACTGTTGAAATGGAACAGTGATCAGTATAGGGCTTGGCACGGTTCTTGTGTAAAAGATACATTTAAACATTCTAAATTCACTTTTCCTTGTAACATAGCAAAACACACGTGAATTCACACGTGATTAGCACGTGACGTCACTTTCGCCAGACCGTCGTTTCTTTTATCATCTGAGACAACGCTACATCAAGACATGCAAGTAAACAATGAATGTTTCACGTAGGCGCGGTCTTTAACAAACAAATTTGGTTTGTTTTACATGCTATTTTTGAGCAAGTGAATGTTATAGTGTATTAGGATTTAAACCTACATATATCTAAAAAATTGCGGAAACTAAAATATAGTCCGTGTGAACAGTAATTCTATTAGATTATTGTAATCCAACACAATAAAATCTTTGTATTGTTCTATCCCCATTTATATTATGAGGAACCATATCAATATTAAAACTTGAAAATTTGGCCCATTTCACGGTGTGCTAGTTGTGGTAGGTAATATTTGCTGTGTTAGATGGGCCCCTTTTGATTGCACTGGCCTGCAGGCATATTTATTTTTAAAATATATCACAAAACTTTTAAGAAAAGTATGCCAATGGATATTAAAGAATAACCGAGGCATCCTATTTCCCCACACAACCACCACGGTGCGACGCTTTTGGATATGCAAATAATAGTTTTTACACACAAGTCGTCTAATTCGGAAAAAAGTGCATTAAATTAATTCAAATTAATATTCATGTATATCTTTTCCTTACATACTTATCCCCCAATATTATAATCAATACAAAACGTTTTTTTAATGATATATGCTTCTCAAAATTTGCGTGGAATCAGATATGGCAGCTGTAAGTGACCCTTTACCAGGGTGGCAGATTATATAGGGATAAAGGGGAAAAACCAGAGATAGTAAAATGACCGTCTATTTATCTAATGACATATCTGTGAATATCCTGTGAAAAGTCAACCTGTGGCCCTGGTAGAGGGTAGCTTTAAGTATCTTTTCGAAAATCGAGGAGACATTCTGACATGTATTTGGTTTTTTTTTTCTTTTTTTCACACCTGACAGGATGGAGAATACTTTGTGTGTGGGGGGAATAGCTCTTGTAAAGTACTTGTCTAAAATACCTGTATAACACGTACTATGAATATTGGTCTTTCATTAAACATGTTGCCATAGCAACTAAGTTGACATGGTTAACCATCACTCTGTCCATCACAGAAAAGGGGGGTGGAAGCCCGTCAAGGTTTAACATTAAACGTCTTCTGCTCCTCTGCGCAACATAATGTTAAGTCTTTATATTTAAAGCGTTAAGAATAAGACAAACACCATTTCCTTAGTTTCCGCATTTATTATCGAGTTACTAGCATTTTAAAATTACTCAAGCATGAAAAGTATTAATTGTCCTCAAATGTCTCCATATTTCACTGAATGCGGCATTTTATTTGGACGTATATCAAACGTCTTTGTCTTTGGGATAGTAAAGGCTTAAGTGTGGCACCTTTCCAGTAAATCTGAAAACAAAAAAAAATGCTTTTCGTAATTTTCTCTGTAAGCACCAAGCAAACACAAAGAGAAAAACATAGAGAGAGAAAAAAAGGGAGAGAAGGCCACGGTGGGCAAAAAATTCATACACACAAAAGATTATCAACTACACAGAATATCAACAAAATTCGTTACATGTTCAGTTGTAAGTAACTAACTGTCTACGTACCAATTATCTCAGGTTTGAAACTGGCATCCCTCTTAAACAGGAGAGAGCCGTCGTCTCTACGTATCTGCAGTCTGTAGCCAGCATGGCGGATGAAGTACCCAGGGTAGTTCACCGACTCGTAGGCCGTATACCCTGGGATAAATCTGTTAGGTCGAGGGTAGAACGTGGCGTCCTTGTCGAAGATGTGAGCGTTCCTTGGGTTCTTTGAACTTTCAAGGTTAACAAAATATCCATAGTGCCGGAGATAGGAGCACGGGTAGTCCACGGAGTTGAAGGACACTGTACCTGGTTGTCCGGTTAACCCTGGGACAATATTGAAAACATTTCCGCTGAAGCCTTGCTTGATGTATGCGTCGCCGTTAGGATGAAGTCCCCAAGTATAATCGGGGTAATTTTGGGATCGAAGACGCACAACTGCAATATAATAAAGCACACACGACATTACATTTTATTTCCAGCTTAAGAACTTTTATATCTGTTTGAATATTAGTGGGGAAATAATGGACAAATATCAGTCTTGTAATTAAAGGTACTTCTGTTTTATTTTGCTCATTTAAGCTTGGAAGTAAAATGCTGCATCCTAATATCAAAAAGCAGGATCCACAAAATGTGGCAGAATAGCCATTTACAGAAAAACTCTTAATTCATATATATCAGGGATTATCTTATCTTTCCTTTAAAATTTTAATGAAATTCGTGTGATTATCTTTAACAGATGATTTTCCATGTATTTATTTTAGCGTCTTCAATATTTGATGAACATAAAATTCATGCTACTTTGTGCAAGGTAACTTTTAGAATTTTAACGAACTGTCACAATACTCAAGCCACAAACCTTAATTATATCTATATTAAATCCATATAATAGGTTCCAAATATACATATATGGCAATTTGAGATCTGGTTTTGATTTTTGGCAACTGTGCTGATATAAGAATTGTATAACATAAATAATCTGACTGAAAATTTAACTTCAAAAAAGCCTATCATGCATTACTATGAATACTTACCGCTCCGCTGGGCAGGAACGAGAGGGAAGAACAACACAACAGCGGCGGCAATACACAGGGAAAACATCTTCAGTTATTCCTTCAAGAACAATAAAAATCGATTTTCATATGTAAAAAAATATTCATTTAAAATCTCATGAATCCAATCAAAAGTGTACAAGTGTACAAAAGGCATGATGGCACCAAAGGTTAAATAATAAAAATGAACATGAATTCCTTTTTATTTTCATTTTTAGTTTAAAAAGTACACACACAATATTTCTACAAAATAAACCAATTAAAAGTCGGTATCATTTTATTTTAGTTTGTTTGTCATCATCTCAAATATTAAATGTCTTTAAAAATTTTACTTGCAATGATTCTCATCTAAATGTAATTTTTTCTAAAAGCCAAAACTTTAAAAAGATAAAAATTATGATAATAATAATATTATTAAGGTACAATGTAGATAGATTTTCTTAGTTTCTACATCTAAACAAACCTGTTTGAGTTCGGGAAATTACACGTTTTAAAAACCGAAGGCCTACCTGTTAACGTAGTTTGGTCAGTAAGATATCACAAGTGTTTCAGACGTCTTGCTTATTGTCGACCAGACGAAGAAAAGTTGACTGCGTCAAACCAAATTTTCAAGTTCTTATTTATAGGTCTACCAAACTCGTAGGCCTGTACAAAACATTCATAATTAAGATTCACGTTCCACGTCGTACCGCTTTAAATTACTTGTTATGTCACGATCATCATGCAAAATAGCCTTTGTCTATGCAAGTGCGGTTTTTCTTTCCTCAAACTTTGCAAGCCATAAATTCTTTCGTAACATCTGCAGTCTGAAAACAAAAACATTGCTTTGTTAAAACACTTAAAAGCGCCATAGGCCAAAATTCATCTTTTATGTGCGAAAATTTCCTCCCATTGATCACGATTAATCAGAATTGTGTTCTATTAAAAGGAATAATCTATGGATTTTAAATGAAAATCTTGTATTAATGGCGATAAAAACCATCCCCAAACAACACCGTGTAGGTAAATCGTGACAAGATACAGGGGCGGATACAGGATTATTTGAAAGGGGGGGGGGGGGAGCAGATGCAAAGCCGACCCGTACCTCCCCTCCCTTGGCGTGGGGTTTGGGGTCCGCTGAAGGGCTTCGTAAAATGTTGATAGTTTAGAGGGCGAACGGTGTTATTTGGTACAATTTAAAACTATGATTCATGATTAGCTGCTTGTTAAAATTCTAATTTCAAAAGGGGAACATTGATGTGATTTTTTTTCAGAAATCGAAGGGGGGGAGGCAGGACACCCGTGACACCCGACCTAAATCCACCAAAAATGACAATAATCATTGTGATGAATGTTGTCACTTGCTGCCAATAGTGATGACAAATTTTTACTTATATATTTAAAAAATTGAGCATTCCGTATATGGGGTATAATAAACCTACTCTTTAGAGAATAAAAAAGTGTGAGTTAATATAGAGGTAAGGGGGGCTTTACTAGGATGCCAAGTGGATAGCGACTATTACTGTAAATATTGATTCAATATTACAACCTGTTGTTTTTACTTAACAACAACAACAACAACAACAACAACAACACACACACACACACACACACACACACACCAAATTTGACCGTTGAGCAGCAATACGTGTAACGAGAACAGGACCGCCTCGATGGCCTAGGCATTCAGATAAATCTTACCTTAGACCACCTTTACTCTGGAGTGCGTCCTTTCGGCGTCCCGTAGTAGTTTGGGACTAAAAAAAATATAATAAGACTTTACGTGTCGACAACTGGCCGATTATTGAGGGGGGCGTCTCGATAGCCCGAAGGTTCATTGGTCCGAAAAACGGTAACATTTTCATCTGTTTTTTAATCAAGGGTTCATTGGTCCGAAGGTTCTGTAGTGAACATTCGGACCAATGAACCTTCGGACTATTGAACCTTCGGACTACTGCTACGGCCCCATTCATTCTGCAACCCAAGCGATGTTTTTACCTCCTTTCTACGACCACAGCGATTTATGTTCGCTCTTACACATGGCTCTGTCGATGGGAAAACTGGTTGAATTGACAGTGTGTGAGTTGAGATGAAGAAATGTGCCATGAATTAACAAGAGACATATATGTGAGTATCTCGTAAATAATCAATCTGTTGCACTGGTAGAGGGTGTACCATTTACAGTTTTTGTGCCGTTTGCTTAAAATGTTTTCACAAATATTATTCCAATGCTTTACGGTGATTTTTTTGTGGTTTTAAAAATTTATTGAACTAGCATTTAAACTAACATTACTGAAAACGTTTTAAACGTTATAATGTCCAGAAAACGCTAATAATTATGGAAATTTCATCTTCATGTTTTCCTAAGTTTTTTTAATAAACCTTATTTTATGTGGTATACAGGGTATTTAAATATATTCTTCTGTGTACTTCAGGCCTACCCAACTACCAGACTCGGCACCTAAGGATCCTGAATTAACCGGTATATCGGACCACGCTACCCGTTTTCAAGGTGTGTGTCAGATCGCATTTCGGAGTATCATACCCCAGAATAAATTTTGTAGCACACTGCGGGCTCATCCACGCTCGGCTGAACAACCTGAAACTGTACTCTTACTTTAGAGTACTCTATTTTATTGTCTCTATGGGGGTATATGGGGACTTTACGACATTCGGTTTGAATGTTTTAACCACTTTTGATAGGGCTTTTTTGCCTTGTATTAGATTAATGTGGCAGTCTTAGGTTCATCTAGGTGGCTTTCAAATTTATGCGCCCGGTTTTAAAATCATATAGCGATTTTACGACAATCGTTTACTATCCAATCAAAGTGACAGCCGAGCATGCCAGGGCTCATCCTGTCGGTGTTCTGGCTGATACTCCGAAATTCGATCTGACACACACCTTGAAAACGGGTAGTATGGTCCGATATACCGGTTAATTCAGGATCCTTAGGTGCCGAGTCTGGTAGTTGGGTAGGCCTGGTACTTGACATGTTGCGCCCAAACAACGCTTTGCTTGAGAAACAAATGGTATAAATGGAATGAGACTGTACAGGCCCGCAGCCAGCAATTTCAAAGGGGAGGGGGGTCTTTTTCTGAAAAAGTGGACCTTTTACCTTATTATCCCCATGTACCTAGGCCAAATTTTACCCAGAGTGGACCTTTTTCCAGCAAAAAGGGGGGTTTTTCGAACCCCCTGAACCCCCCCCCCTGGCTACGGGCCTGAGACATTAAAAACATTGTTTGTCATCAAAATTCATTTACTTGGCACTGCGTCTCGCTCTCATCAGGTGCGCATGCGTGCGTGTTTATGCATGCATATACTTACAGGAAGAAATTACCAAAAATATTATAATAGTATTTTCAGATTCGCTGGAAAGATGTCGCAGTTAAATTCCTACTCGACTTTTACCGATGGTAGAGGCGTTTGATACACGTCCAAATAAAATTACATATTCAGTGAAATTATTTATGGAATAAAATTTGTATATGATTTGTGTATGATATTATTCATAAAATGTGTATGATATTATTCATAAAAGAATTATTTTTTGATATTTGATAAAAAAAAGTCAAATGGACTTTGGTTTCTAAATGAGACTGATACAGAGAATCATTAGTACTTTTGATGCTTTTGTAACTTCAAAATAACCTGATAATAAATGCAAAAATTTGGGCAGGGCGTAAAGATGATTTTCATATATGATCTCAAACGCACTTCCCCACTTTATTTTTTTGTAAAAATGTAGTTCTCCTAACCAAACCATATGGCTGAATTTTTTAATTTTCTTTGAATAGAATTACATATAGCCTACACAACCTTTAGAATTTCGAACTTTAATTTTCTTGTTTCTTATTCAACAATTTCAAAAACATGTTTTGAAATCACACTCTTTTGGCTATCATGATGTCGCTTTTGTCTGAACATCATGTTTCTTTGCTCAGACAACAACGCTACATCACACCCTCTAAGCAAGCAACCGCAGAATGTTTTAAGCAACTTTTGAGGTACTGTACATGTAATTTTAACGTGCTATTTATGTGCTATCAAATTTTAGTTTGCAACCCAAATTGGCCAACTTTGAACTCTTCATGTGAGTTCACACCAAATATGAAATGTTCCTACCAATGCATCGTTAAGTTTTTTTGCAGAAAAAAATGAAATAAACAAAGAAAAATATCTGGCCTAAAATCCCCAAGACTCTACAGTAACTTTGCTAATAAGCAAGACAACATACAAAGCCTACACAGTGGATGTTTCGAAAATGAAGTTAGCACTTCGTGACATAGGGAATTTTAGGCCATAGGCCTAACTATAAATTTTTTCTTTATACAAATTGGGTCAAAGTGGTGATTGAGAGAACATGTATTTAAATATCACATCAAAGTGGTGATTGAGAAAACATGTATTTAAATATCACATCAAAGTAAAGGAACTGCCAACACAAACAAAGCATTGGCATAAATATATTTAAATAAATAACACGTTTGAGTATAGGCCTATATCAAGTTTTCCTTTCCAATGCAATTTCAACTGTCATTTAATACTGTTGACTTGCACACCATTTCAGTTTGTCATTTTAATAATATTATATAGCAATATTATGTTAAAATTCAACTTGCAAATTTTCTACCTTCGGATTACCACATTTTGATAAAAACAGTTTAATACATTTTAACTAAACAAATGCATTTTGAAACAAACCAACAGGATATGGTCGTTCTCTTGCAGGTTCAGGATCCTCAATTAACTAATTCTTCTGATACTCCATTACTATTTTGGCAGACTAGATTTTTACCATGATTACGTCCTGTATCATAATGTCTAGATGTTATTGGAACAGATGACCCTTCAGCGTGATCTTTTTCATGTAAATCACATTCATTTCTGACGGCAAATGTCTTGTAACAAAACCCACACTTGAACAGTTTATCTTCTCTTTTAATTATTTTATAATCACCATGCTCATTGTTTATATAATAAAATAGAGTATTTTTATTGTCTCTATGGAGGTATATGGGGACGCTACGACATTCGGCTTGAAGGCTTTAACCACTTGTTATAGTTTATTTTTGCATTGTATTGGATTAATGTGGCAGTCCAAGGTTGCCCTAGGTGGTTGCACCCGGTTTAATATCATTTAGCGATTTTACGACAATCGTTTACTATCCAATCAAGGTGACAGCCGAGCGTGTCCACACTAGTGGCATGATTCAAACTAAATAAAATAGCATGTATTTGATTATTTTTACTAAAAATTTTAAAAATACAGTTGTTCTTTGACTTCTTAATTATAAACAAATACAGCACGCCTGCGTAATGACGTCATCAATTTATGAGCTCAACTTTTGTGTGAAATCCAGCTTTGGGTCTTGGATGAGCGTCATTGTTGTCTTGGGGTCACATCCAAATATAAGCACTATCTTTAAATGAATCTGAGTCTTTTTGCCTCCAAAATGTAAGGTGGACCTGCAGTGCAAGCCATATGACAGAAGATATTTACATAGTGGTGCCCAAGGAGTGAAACCATGCCTGCACAGTGATAGATCAATTGATAAAAAAGCAACAAAGTTATTTCGTTCACGTACGGAGCATTTGGAAAGCAAAGAACATCAGGACAGTGGTGAGATATTTACTTCAAGAAGAAGATTTTGTTTTCATAAAAAAAATATGCAATAGAGATCAACAACCAACATAAGTGTTAGTGTTGTGATTAAATTATATTTATAGTGTTGTTCATGAATGAATTAGTTCACACATTGATGTTCTGAGGCCAGATGTGTAGTAAAATTGTGTTCTCACATCATGAAGAAGTTCACAAAGATGAAAAATGCCCATGCTGTGAAACAGTTTAATACTGGAAAGGAAAAAGTACTAGTAGTGATAACCATGGAAGAACTCATATATCCGTCAATCAAAGGTAACAAATAATTACCTAGTTAATTTATTGGTTGGAATTGTTAAAATCATGAAAGAATTCAAATGCCAGTACTGTGGTAAGACATTTAACATTAAACAAAATTGCATTGTTCATGAAAGAATTCACACTGGAGAGAAACCTTACAAATGCCAGTATTGTGACAAGGCATTTGCTAAACCATGTGATTTTGTCAATCATGAAAGAATTCACACTGGAGAGAAACCATACAAATGCCAGTATTGTAATAAGGCATTTAGTAAAAAATGCAATTGCAATGTTCATGAAAAAAATCACTCAGAAGAGAAACCCTTCAAATGCCAGTTCTGTGATAAGAAATTTATTCAGCAACGGGATTACATTCGTCATGAAAGAATTCACACTGGAGAGAAAACATACAAATGCCAGTACTGTGATAAGACATTTATTCGAAAAGATCACTGCAGTGTTCATGAAAAAATTCACACTGGAGAGAAACCATATGAATGCCAGTACTGTAATAAGGCATTTATCATAAAACAGAATTGTATTGTTCATGAAAGAGTTCACACTGGAGAGAAACCATACGAATGCCAATATTGTGATCAGAAGTTTACTCAACAATGGGATTGTGTCATTCATGAAAGGATTCACACTGGAGGGAAACCATACAAATGCCAACACTGTGATAAGGCATTTAATAGAAAACACAATTGCATTGTTCATGAAAAAAGTCACACCGGAGAGAAACCATACAAATGCCAATATTGTGATAAGAAGTTTACGCAACAATGCAATTGTGTCATTCATGAAAGGATTCACACTGGAGAGAAACCATACAAATGCCAGTATTGTAATAAGACATATAACAGAAAATACAGTTGCATTGTTCATGAAAAAATCACACTGGAGAGAAACCATACAAATGCCAATATTGTGATATGAAGTTTACGCGACAGTGCGATTGTGTCATTCATGAAAGGATTCACACTGGAGAGAAACCATACAAATGCCAGTATTGTAATAAGGCATTTAACAGAAAATACAGTTGCATTGTTCATGAAAAAAGTCACACTGGAGAGAATCTCTACAAATGTAAGTTCTGCGACAAGAAATTTACCCAAAAAGATTACTGCAATGTTCATGAAAAAATTCACTTGGGAGAAAAAACTTACAAATGCAAGCATTGTAATAAGGCATTTAATAAAAAACAAAAGTGCGTTCAACATGAAAAAAGTCACACTGTAAAGAAACTTTACAAATGTCAATACTGCCATAAGAAATTTTCTGTGAACAGTGATTGTGTTGATCATGAAAAGATTCACACTGATGAAAAACCATATAAATGCCAATATTGTAATAAGACATTTGTAAGAGAACAGTATTTCATTCAACATGAAAGTATTCACGCTGACAAATTATCTATAATGAATAATTGTGTAAATCATGAAGTTTTTCACTGTGAAAAGAAACCATACAAGTGTAAGTTGTGCTACAAGGCGTTTGTCAGCAGAAATGAATTCGATCTACATGAAAAAGATCACAATGATGTGACGTCTGTTTCAGGAGAACATGCCAGTGGACAGTATGATACAGAAATCTGTCATGGTACAAATATTGTCTGCCAGGATAGAAATGGGGTCAAACAGGAATTGGTTAAAAAGGAAATTGAGGATTACGCTCCTGTAAGAGAGCAACCATATCCTGTTGCTTTGTTTAAAAATGCATTTGCTTAGTCAAATGTAGTTTATGCGTATTTCATGATAGAGTAAAAATGATTTGAAAAAAGATCGGCATGTAGTTTTCAAGTACTAACTACGTCTTTGACTTATTTGAACAGTGTAGCTTACAGTTGTAATATGTACAGGCTTTTATTTGACCAGGTCATAATTTATTTTTTAAGTTTTACAAATTTTGCAGTGTCACATTAAACGTAAATGCTAAATTGAAAGTTTTTGTAGTGCCAATTTAAAACTAAATTCAATAAAGAAAACTATTAAGATGGCTACTAACATATATGATAGAAGTAAATGTATTATTCTGACCAAATTTTGTTCTAGTAGCCTTCAGATAGAAAATCTGTGGCCTTGGAAGACGGTTATCACCTAGGTGATCTGTACTGTATTCAGTCATTGAAGAGAAACAGTTGCAAATGAGCAAAATCTTGTTTTAATGCTATTGTATTATATTTTAATGTTATTGTATTGTAGTTCATAGTCAACTTATTGTGTCTATATTGTTTATCTGTACATTTTCAACAGTACATATTGCACCTGTATTANCATTATAACTTCTTGCTTAGTCAAATGTAGTTTATACGTATTTCATGATAGAGTAAAAATGATTTGAAAAAAGATCGGCATGTAGTTTTCAAGCAATTAAAATAATAATGAAAAGAAATATTGAAATTGTGCACAAGTCACATGTATTAGCGACAAAGGGCCGTTGCACTTGAGATTAATAAGTAACACATTAGATTACTATTATATATATATATATATATATATATATATATATATATATATATATATATATATATATATATTATAGAACACTTCTATTTAGAATAAAAGTAGGTTTTATTAAATGTATCTTATTCACCAGCATGTACTGGCAAAGGTATACAAAATACATAAATATATAAGAATGTGACATCAGATTACAATACAAAACACTAGACTACAAGATGACAACTGTATATAAATAATGACCTCATGTATGTACATAAAGTAAATAATAAAAGTAGTTATTGTGCCTGGTTCTAGTTCAGATGAGAGAAGCAAGATTCTTTTAACATAGGCTTTTTGTTTCATTCTTGTCAGTACAATGATGGTGGACTGACTAGACTTTTCACTTGCCATTGGCTATATTAATGTTTCTTTGTTTTTTTTTTGTATTTGATTCTGAGTACCAAAATACTCAGAATATCAGCTTTCTTGGGTGTATTCCTTGAAGTTTTGTGGGTCATTGAAGATAATCGTTAATTTTAGATAAACTACTATAAATTTCATAACAAATTTATGAAATGCAAAACTTGTCACATCACATTACCCCATGACTGGTTCATACCAAAGACCAGTATAAATATGATATTTGCTGTCTCCTCCTGAAGCACCCAGCATCTAGAGGTTTAAGTGTAGGAAAAAGACAAGGGACTCCCTGCCCAGGGATTGGTCCAACTCAGTGGCGGTTTTAGAGGGGGGTCAGGGGGTCCCAACCTCCCACTCCCTATGATTTCTGGTCCCCTCTTGAAATTAGATTTTTGACTAGCTGAATCATAGTCCTAAACCATACCAAATGGCACCGTTCGCCCTCTTAAATACCAAAAATTTCTGAGGCCCTTCAGCAGGCTCCGAACCCCACGCTAAGTAAGGGGGGAAGGGTCAGCTTTGCATCCGCGGACCCCCCCTCCTTTAAATAATCCTGGATGTGCCCCTGGTCCAACTGCCTTGTTGGTGGCTAGGATAAGGCTAGGAAAAATTAAGGGAGTAAACCCTAACAGAATATCTGCAAACACTCTTCTGTTGCAGCAGGCTCTGTGATGTTCACATATTCAGATTCAGACAAAAAGTACTAACTACGTCTTTGACTTATTTGAACAGTATAGCTTACAGTTGTAGTACTTGACCAGGTTGTAATTTATATTTTAAGTTTTAACTTTTACAATTTTTGCAGTGTCACAGGAAGCGTGCTAAATTGAAAGTTTTTGTATTGCCAATTTAAAACTAAATTCAATAAAGAAAACTACCTGTTTACTTAGATGGCTAACATATAAGATAGAAGTAAATGTATTATTCTGACCAAATTTTGTTCTAGTAGCCTTCAGACAGAAAATCTGTGGCCTTGGCAGACGGTTATCACCTAGGTGATCTGTACTGTATTCAGTCATTGAAGAGAGACAGTTGCAAATGAGCAAAATCTTGTTTTAATGCTATTGTATTATATTTTAATGTTATTGTATTGTAGTTCATAGTCAACTTATTGTGTCAATTTTGTTTATCTGTACATTTTCAATAGTACATCTTGCACCTGCATTAGTGGCAAGAAGTAAATTATTGAAGATTTTAGTAGAATCGAAACAAGGGCTTAAAATCAGTTTTTTGAAGCAATAAACTCATCAGTCCATTATCAATTATTTTATTTGTATCTTATATATACCAATCTGAGTAGCGTTTATTATTATGACTTAATTTAAAGAAAATATCAACACATGTATATACTTCACTGGTATATATTATTATCAGCATGATTACATAAATAACACATGTAGAAATTAAAATGGACGGAACCACTTTTAAAATAATAAATAAATACATCCTTCTAAAAGAAAAATATTTTCATTAAAAATTGATTAACCACTCATTCCCACATCTTCATTCCATTGTGGACAAGAGCACATATAAATATACTGACTGTACATATGCATACCACAGAATATATAGTTTTCACTATGGTGCAATATGGCATATATGTAAATATACTATTTCATGCTAGTTTATCCAAAGGAGGAGCAGTGGGTCCTGTATCCACCTCCCCTAAGCAACATGTACCCTCTTTTTCCCTTCCCAAAATAGCGCAACAATTAAGAAAAACAAGATAAAATCAAATAATTTTCCATCTCTGTGCCCTAATTGCCTTTGCCAATTCCAGGAGGTTGAAAAAGAAAACAAAACAAAACATTTTATCCTTGTGCCCCCCCCCCCCAGCTTTTAGCAAAACACTAGACCCACCAGAAGTACGGAGCCATGTGATACACATGGCACCATTTTCACATTGTCCGAAGCTGCATGACACAACCTTGAACGCCCACAACTCTGTTTTCAGAACAACAACATCACTGGGAAAATNTATTCCAGGAGGTTGAAAACGAAAACAAAACAAAACATTTTATCCTTGTGCCCCCCCCCCCCAGCTTTTAGCAAAACACTAGACCCACCAGAAGTACGGAGCCATGTGATACACATGGCACCATTTTCACATTGTCCGAAGCTGCATGACACAACCTTGAACGCCCACAACTCTGTTTTCAGAACAACAACATCACTGGGAAAATCTTGTGTAAAATAAACAGTCCGGGCAATAGTTCTGATTGTCTTTTTTATCACATTTGCCAAGCAATGAACTTCTCTGGTATTTCCCTTAGAAGGAAGGTTTTCATAGTCTTTGAAATATCATCTTAAATGAAGTAAAGATCACTTATCTCCTAATATATTCAATACTATGTTGTATAATTCTAAAGCAGCACAAGAGAACACTTTTCACAATAATAATTATATTATGGGATTTGCAAAATTTTAAACTGGTTTTGGTTTATTTTTTATCATGATATTGGCCAGTCCATTTCTTCTATGTCTCCAGGCTCCTTGACCGAGACTTAAATACTTCAAGTGGCGGTACCACAATAAGGTGTCTTTGGGGTCTTCAGACTGTAAAACAAGGACAGAATACATGTATCTTAATTAGTCCACATCCAGAACATATTATCTGCAGAATAACTGACTTGTGGACTAAATATGGCCGACCCCACTTGAAAGCAATACCGCCTAACCCCAAAATTCTATCCCTGCCTCCATATGGATTAAATCTCAGCTCCGAGGCTAAATTGCTATAGGCCCTTGCAGGAACGGCGGATGTGGAGGTAGGGAGACCGTCAAGGGATTAGGTGGCCTTGCTTACAAGTAGGTCTGCCATATTTGATCCGCACTGTTAAGACACTATTTAAGTAGTTATTATATATCACATTTAAATTTGAAAAAAGCATATTTGTTGAACATCAAACAATGTTTTGGCCAATAAATAAAATGTCAATATCTTACCTTAAAGAGAAAGACATCTTTTGCCATCTCATGGATCTCAAAGACCTCTGGCAGTTCTGGGTCTATGGCAACTACACACTTGTCTAGATACATAGGTTCCTTAAGATAAAATGAAAAAGGGACTAATATTAAAATATGCAATTTTGTGCTTAATAAACATTAATGACATAACTAATTTCAAACAAAGGACATCAGCAAAGCTTCTGCTTGCATCATTTCCAAATCTGCTGAAATTACTGAAAACTGATGTGTGCCATCTCCAGAATTTTCAAGAAATTACTATAATATTAAAACCATGTATGAAAATTGAGAATAAACATTAAGTAAAATAACACTGTCCATACCCTAATACTTTGAAAGCGTCCTCCTTTCTCCCGTATGATCACAAGCGCTGCCTGCTGTGGGACTGTATGTGGTCTGGGAAACAGCATCACTTCATCCAGTGTGTTGTAAGGCTTGGGCTGGAAGGAGAGAAGATGGCATATTGAGGAACAGAAACATTTTACTGATCTAAAATTACTTTATATTCAAGGAAACATAATTATGTCGGGGAGAACATTGCCCTCAGTGTTTACACAAATACCTAAGCATGTTTTAAACAATTGAAACATTTGATCAAAATTATTCTTATCCTTTCTTTTTTTTTTGTCAAATAAATTCTTTTATACACAAGACATATAGGGAAAACTATAAAGTATATATTATTCTAGTTTAGTTATTTTAAAGCAACTGAAATATTTTATTACAACACTTTTGTATACTTACATTTCCAAGTGTGGCCAAAACACCAAAAATAGGTGCAAACTTGAGATTCTTGTACTTCCTGGGCCAGGTAGAGTCAGCAGGCTGTGCATACTGTAGCTTTCCAGCAGTAATTATTTTTACCTCATTCCTGGTCCAACATAGCGTTTCCAAGGCAACCTGATAAGTCAACATTCAAGATATTTATAAAATACAAAACAATAAGACTTACTGCATCTTACATTCAAATTTGCTAGGCATATAAATTACCATGCTATTTAGTAATAATTTGCAAGGAACACTGCTAATTGCATTTTTTTCTCAGTAGAATTATAAATATCAAGTAGTAAGAAACAACTCACCTTGTTTAGTTCTATATTGTCAGTACCTATGCTCTTCTTGGAGCCAGATCCTTTTCTCCGCAATCTGAGACCAGTGGCTGAGGCTTTGGTTTTCTGGAGGGATAATTCATCAAATTAACATGCATGTTAACACTTTTCAAACATTTTTTTATAAAACATTTCCTTCTATCACCGCAATTTCAAATAAAGTTTTTAAAAATAGATCACTATAAATAAGTACTGCTCATCCTATTGGAACTGAATCACTGAACTTATGGAAAACCAAGCCAAATATTTTTTTCTAATAAATTACAAAAAAATACTAACTGCATTGATATGATCCAGAATTTCTTCTACTCTACATTGAGCTTCTTTTATTGCTTCCCTGTCTTCGTGATGACTAGATGTGGACTTGTGTAACCTCCCAAGGAGCAGAGGGTACCTGGAAAATAATAACATAGCATACCATGCAGGTTTAAGAGTAAAGCTTTCTGCATGTCAGCTTTAAGCTGTCAAAATGACTAAAAGTACTGCTTTCTTAATAGCATACATTTACCAACCACACCAACATTTGTCACATTTTATATTAAAATTTGCCTTTATTTTTGTATGGACATTTGCAACTTACTTCATGATTCTCTGTACAGGCACCATGAGAAAAGACTTGAGATTCATTCTCCTGAGCAAGGAGTTTTCTGTTTGAGACACATGTAGAAAAATCCGCAGTAGCTCTTTCTCCTTCTCCAGTTGTTCTAGCAGAAGTGGAGCTGCAGCCTGTAAAAGTACAAAGTACATAAAACATCAAACAATAATCATCACTGACCCAACCTCACCTTATACAATGAAGACTTCTCACCCAGATTCTTCTAACACAATCAAGAGTTCTCAGCCAGCCTCAACTAACACAATCAAGAGTTCTCGAGCAGTCTCAACTAACATAATCAAGACTTCTCACCCAGCCTCACCTAACACAATTAAGACCTCTCACCCAGCCTCACCTAACACAATCACCACCACTGACCCTATAAAAAACCCCTTTGTCCATGACTCTGAAATGTTTATGGTGCTAATAGAAACTTGTGCCGTATTTTGGCAAACAAAAAGACAGCGATTACAATAATATTTATAAAACCTAAACAAAATGAAAAAAAAAAAAATTCACATCCTTTTCAATTCATCACTTAAATACTTGTTTATATTGATGATAATAATAATAATATATGCTCACAACTTAGATTGATATGCTTCAATTAATTATTGTACTTGAGCCTTACAGTTTTACATTTAAGCCCTTGAATTTTCTGGGCATGTAGAGTACACAATGGCTCCATTCACTCTGTTTTAGTACAAGATTTAGGTGTTTGTATTTACAAATGTATACAGTCTTTGCAGCAATTTTTTCTACTTGGAAGCTAATCCAGGCTATCAATAATATTCCATATATTTCTCCCTTGTCCTACCTGTTTCACACAGTAGTTCTCAAAAGCCAGGAACATGTTGGAGGATTCCAGGAAAAGTTGACCTATATATACTGTGACATAGTCCTAGAGAATAAGAAATTAAACCAGGTATGTAATAATTATATAAACATTGATCCTGTGATCCTATTTTGAGTATCTTTAACAATATAAATGATCAAATGGTCAATGCCCATGTACAATGTATATTAAATGATATTCCAGTGATATTAGTGAAAGTTCCAAGTTCACTTACCTCATCTCCCTGTTCATTGGCCAATTCAACGAGATCCTGCAGTTTGTCTGCAAATTTGTCATTGATGTCAATCAATTCTTCCAGATTGATGAAGATGGTGTCTAACTGTTCAGGAGTCAGCAAAGATGCCGTTTTCATTGGAGACATAAATTCCTAGCAGAAAATAGACACAAGACACTGAATCAAAAGTAAAGCTACAATTGTACTTTGCTTAATTCCATCTGAATTTAAGGTTTGGTGAATTGAAAAACTTCCAAATTAAGTACAAAACTGCTAATTTCAAAGATTGTGAATCCAACCTCTGGTCCAACAAACACAATCCGATAAGACAGAGTGAGGGTTCTGATAAACCTATCATACTAGCTGGATCAATCCAACTCTTACTTAAGTATAGTCAGCATAATCAACGTAATTGTCTGACACGTCTTCTCAACCAGCAAGGGGGTAAATAACAATTGTGTGTGCTTGGCTCTTGAAAGATCTTTGACTGATCCAGCCTCACGCAACACAATCATCAATGACCCAGACACACCTAGCACAATCACCACCACTGACCCAGTCTCATCTAATGCAATCATCACAACTGATTCAGCCTCACCCAACACAATCACCACCACTCACCCAACATTACCTAATACAATCAGTCTAACCTACCTCTTTGATGATGCGCAGATCTCTGCCATAGCTGAGTTCTGTGTCTACCAGCTCCTGAATGGTTTCCTTCCTCTCCACTCTACGTGAATGACACTTCGTGCACAGTGTTTCCACACAATCCTCCAGGTCCAACACACTGATGGTTTTGTTGCAATCCTCACAGACTGGGCCCTAATAGAACATCAACACTTCATGTATCAATGTCTTTGTGTCTCTGATTAATTTTGTTATAAACACATAACTGACGAATTTTGAAAGTCAGGATGGCAAACCTCAATAATGTTTTTTTTTCTTCAGACAAAATAAATTATCTTTACTGTTTAAAAAAACTTTTACAAATGAAAGTAAGGTACTGCATGGTATCAATGATGAAACTGTGCAATGCAATAGCAGCTGCATGCTACATATATGACTATTTCATACAACTGTGTGGCTACCACATATACCTTGCTTTTCTTTTTCATTCCTGCTTTGGTCTCAGATCCAACCCCACTGTCCACCCTCTCCACTTCTGCTCCCTTTGGGGTATCCTGTGAGATAGACAGAAAAAATTGCTTAAAAAGTAAATATTTTCATGTCTTATGCTGTAACAAATAAATTAATTAAAAAATACAATAACAACAAAAATAATAATAATGTCTCTTACAAAATTAACATTTTAAGCTGAAATTCTTAATATTTTATGCTGAATTGAAGTGTTGTGATCATGTGGTAAATAAATAATTTGTTTACTTTTTGTGTCAAGCAACTCTCAGATTGGCCATGTCTGCACAGTTCTCAACATGCAGCCAAAATAAGGCCACTTTATTGATTACATTGATAATATCTAAAAATAATTGTGAATAGACTTTCCCTTTATATTGTTCTAAGATGCATAATGATTTTGATCACAAAAATGGAAAAATCACAAAAATATCCCAAGATCCATCCCTGGACCATAATGCTGTACCTTGGCTGTGTCTGCAGAGTCCTGCACCCCCTCAGTAACCCCGCTGTCCACACTAGTCATGCTTACGATGCTGAGGCGGTTCTTTTGCCTGCTTGGCTCGTGCCTACCTCTAGTGCATGCCTGAGAGAGGAGGAGAGGGAAGAGAGGGTGCAATGGTTAGTTGTTCTTTTATAGGGTGCACTAAAACATGCCATTTCAAAAAAGCAAGCAAGAAAGGTGTAGATGTGCCAATTAAGATGGTTGTAAGGATTAGAATTAGTTTTGCTTTTTTTTGGTTATTTGGTATGGTAATTCAATGAATTGTTCAAACTATCTGCATGGTCTTATCCTTGAAAAATTTTAGTTCAATCAAAATTCTGAACTAAATCAATGAAATCAGGGAAATATATTTTCCTTACCCATATAAAAATATTTGAAGCATTTTGCCAAAATATTTTATGCCAGGATGGGTGACCTAAGTATTTTTTTTACTTAAATTCCCCTAATTAACATTCATGCAGTTTTACAAAACCTTTGAGTAATATACTAGTACAATAGCTGTGTGCCATGCAATAATTCTCATACAGCAAGACAGTGCATTTGCTTTTAGTGATATTAAATGGACATCAACAAAGTGTGCATGCACACACACACATATCACCCTCTGCTCCCTTTTGTAAGACATTCATGTCCCTCAATTACAAAATAGTTAGTGCAAAACTAATATTTATACTAATAAACACCAACCTCTGAGCTTGTGTCATCCTCATAAATCTCCTCCAGACTCTGAAGACTTGAGCTCTCTTCTAATGTTTTAAACGAACCAGTTTGGACCTCCTGCAGAAAACTGAGGATTTCTTCCTTCGATGTTGCTGATGACAGTTTTCTTTTGCTGACATCTTGAGCTTTTAGTGACATCTTCTTAGAACCTCTGGTTTCTGTGAAAATAGTTACCGTGTCTTATAATGATCACAGTTTTAGCTCAGGTGTCACAGTATTGAGGACAGACCACAGATTTTGAGTGTAAGCATGAGTGAAACAAGGAGGCTTTTAGGCCCACTAAATTTTTTACTGATTCTGGGTTCAAATTATACCCTACCATTCATAATGCAAAAACTGATGTTAAATTACATCACCTAAACGCATTTTAAACAACATATAAACATGCAAATATCTTATCTATGTAACTTAATTTGCAAAAATCTGGAACCTTTAACATACAAATTGTCTGCAACAAGCATCGCTGCATCTTTTTGTACATAAAAATTAATCTTCATTGTTTCTCATAAATACCTCTTGCTTTCAATCTTTGTTCTTTCTGAGAATTCTGTCTTTCTAAAGCCACTTCATCAAATGGATCACTTTTGTTGTGCCTTAGTTTCTTGTCTTTTTTCCTTTTCTTCTCTTCTTTGATGTCTGAAACATCTGATGTTGATCTTGTGACTGAAATCTGAGGACACAAAATAGATAAATACCAAATTCTGATAATGTAGATTTTACACTAAAACAGTGGTCATTCATATCAATATAAGTAATATGTATCAATATATATAACTGATACAGAAGTGACATATTCAAAATTAATGGCCAGCCTCCACTTCATCCATTAAAGATTTTTTTATTCATTTCTCGTCACGTGAATGAAATACATTTCTAAACTGTCTGTATAATAAGTGTTGTATTTTAATACAAATTCAGGATAGGGAATGTGATTCCGCTGCCTTGTGTTGTGTTGATCAAGATTTGGCAATCAATAGAAATGAATATATTAGCCACCCCTCAGTTTAGATTCATAAATGTAAAAAAAGAAAAAAAAACGATGCATTCAGTTCAAACTGAGTGCTACTTTTCTTTTCAACTCTCAATATGATTCAGGCGATGATACAAAAAAAAAAAAAAAAAAAAAAAAAGTGATAGCAAAGTGGAGCAAAATAAATATGAAGAGAAAAAATGTGGTACAGTATAAAAAGGCCAGGCCAAAACAGACTACAGAATCAGAACCTGGTCACCAGGCAGTGGTTTTCTAGCTACCTGACTAAGTTCAGTCTGTTCCAGTCGTTTGAACCTCTTGCTGTACTTGGTGAATAGATCCTCAGACCTGGGTGCAGTGTATCCAGACTGGAGGGCCTCTACATAGTTATTGAACCTGGGACTGGTGGTCATCTTGAGGAGGAGAAAATGTGATAATGAAAACATGATGAGTGCAGATAATCGAAAAGTGATGATGAATGTGAATTTTTTTCAAAGCTAGCGACTCTCACCAAAACCAATTTACAAAAGTTAAAAGATGACATAAAAATAAAATTCCATTTCATCTTAAATACCTGTAAATGAGATGACCACAACAAAAACAATAGAAAAAAAATTATAAAAACAAATAAATATATCAAATAATAATAATTATCTAGCACACAAAATACACCATGCCATGCTGTTTCATGCAAAACAGGGGGAGGGGGATGTTCAAGCCTCAAATCTCACACCACCTACCTCAGGTCTTGGAGAGTTCTCCGCTGAGCTGATTTCTTCCTTCAGATCTCTAGCCATACTTGTACCTGCTACTTCTTCCTTTCTCTCAGGTTGCTCAAGTCCATAGTCCTCAAAACTGACATCATCAAGTTCTCCTAGACTTCTAGAACTACTGGGCACATCAGGCAAGGTATGTTCAGAACATTCCAAGTCGGATTCTAAACTAGATAGATCTAAGTCTAACATTTCTACGTCCCCCAGTCTCTGGTGCTGGGAAACTGAAAAGTCTACAGGCGCCATCTGGTGTCTGGGACTAGAAGGGAACATGCTATTGTCTCTAGGTAACATGTCTAGTCTATAATCAGTAGAAGTTATTGCCATGCAGCTATCAAGATCAGGCTCAATACTCACTTTATAATCTTTTTTCTTGGTATACAGGTTCTGTTTGATAGGAGCACTGCCTTGTTCTTGGTCCTTTTTGGCAGTACATTTCATATCCTTTCCTTCCTCACTGACAGAACTCGGCAAGAACGTGGCATCCCCAGAACTCAGTCCTAAACTGGAATGTGGTCTAGGAGGTGGTTTAGACTTTCCTTTCTTTTTCTTTTCTGAACCTTTTCTTGTCTCATTTTTCTTCTCATCATTATCATAAGAAAGGGGAATTTCACTATCGTCTTTACTTATTGACCTAATCTTTTTTATTTGATTGTCAGACTTGGCACGAGAGAAAGCTGGCTGTGGATGGTGTGATACGGAATCATTTCTCCTATTTATAAATGGCTCACAGTCATTGTCCATTTGATATTTTCTGAGATATTTCTCATATTCTTCTTTAACATGTCTTTTTGGTTTCTGTCTGCTACTACTACTACTACTTGGCACATACATTTGTTCTTCTAACTGTTGGTGCTGGACGACTTTCACAACATCTGTTACTGTTCCTAAATCAGATTTACTTTTCCCTCGATGTTTTTTCGATGTACGTTTGGAGGAATCTTTCGGGGTACTCTCCCTATCTGATGCTTCCACCAGGGTGAGGATATCATCATCCTGACTTTGAGATTTCCTGGAATGTTTTCTGTGTTTCACTTTATCAATGTTGTCATTGTCATGTTTACCAGCCTGTTCTAGGAGATGAGCCACATTCCCCAGGTCTGACTTGCTCTTTCTTCTTCGATGAGGCTCAGTTACAATCTCATCAGAGAATGTCACCCTGGGGCTGCTTTGGCAACTTTTATCAGATTTACAGCGTCGGAGCTTTTCTTTTTGTATGTCTGCATCATGCAGAGCATCTTCAATTTCTTTTAATGATGAAGGGATTTTGGTTTTTGACAAATGGCTGTCCTGATCATCCAGTGATTTTGACCTATGGTGTTGGGACTCCTGTCCAAATAATTTCTGCATTGACTTGTATCCCCTGGGGGAATTACAGTGACCTCTTTCCACCGACTGTCCAGTCTTTGTCATTATCTTTGGAACAGTAGGGTTAAGGGCTTGCACATGAATTTCCCATGATGACTGGGGTGAAGCAGTATTGTCAGATGTGCTAGGTGAGACAGCTGCATTGCGTGGAGATGTTCTCAAGTAAGATTTAACACCAAGATCCATTGATGGACTGTTTAAAGTGTAAGTTTGCCCAAATAGAGTTGGAGACTCGGGTCTTAAGCTATCAGAGTGGTCTCCATGGGGTCTAGACCCTTTTAAAAGGAATGTGTCTGCATCTTGTCTGTCTTTTGCGCAACTCTTTAGATCAAATGTAGAACTTGATGTTGTCATGGAAAATGAAGAAGGAAATACCATTTCATCATTTGAGCAATGGTCAGGTACAATACCAGCAATATTAGGTACAGAGCCTCCATATTTTCTTCTCAGTTTGAACTCCTCAAAACTTGGAATGTGAAATTTAGTCTTCCAAGGGACAAGCCTTTCAGGTTCAGAATTTGACTTACTGAGAGATGACCTGGTTGAGGATGCCTCCACTAAATCGTTATCAAAACCACGAGGCCATTTCTCAGGTGTTGGCGGTAAACTCTTAGAAACTCCCTCACTAACATTATCCACTAAATCATAACTATTACATTTCCCCTGCTGAGCAAAGAGCTGTCGTTTTGCTGTAGCGACTGACAGTGTTGAAGGACTCCCGTCTTGGTTGTCACTTACTGTGGGACTGGGCCTATTCTGTTGGCTTGTATTCTCACCCACTTTCACATTAGCCACTAGGCTTAACGAAGACTCTGAAAGCGAAATAGGTATTCTACCAGAATACTGACTAATTTTTGAACTTTCATTCATGATATGTTTTGATTTCCTTGTGCCATCTACAATTCCTTCAACATCTTTGTCCTCATTTGGCATGATATAGTTCTTGTTGTCTGGACTGTGAAATAAATCAAGTTGTGTCTGTGTCAGAGGATAATCACCAGTTTGAAAGCCACTTTGTGCAAATTGAGCATTCCTTGATTTGTCTCTTAAATACTTTGTTATCAAGTCTTCCGTGTTCAAATTGTAAGTAACAACTTGCTCCCTTTTTGATTCAATATTTTTGATTGGTGATGATTCTTTAATGCCATATTTCTGCTTGTATTCCTTAAGGTAATCTATTTTGCCAGCTTTTCCTTGTAGATTATCCACCGAAGAAGAGCAATTCTCTTGAGGTTGGCGGTCCTTTGATGTTTCATTGATTATAGTAATCTCAGTTGCACCTGACATTTCTAATGTCTGGCAGCTGGGAGACAAATCATCAGTTTCCACAGATAGTGNGTACATAAAAAAAAAGTGATAGCAAAGTGGAGCAAAATAAATATGAAGAGAAAAAATGTGGTACAGTATAAAAAGGCCAGGCCAAAACAGACTACAGAATCAGAACCTGGTCACCAGGCAGTGGTTTTCTAGCTACCTGACTAAGTTCAGTCTGTTCCAGTCGTTTGAACCTCTTGCTGTACTTGGTGAACAGATCCTCAGACCTGGGTGCAGTGTATCCAGACTGGAGGGCCTCTACATAGTTATTGAACCTGGGACTGGTGGTCACCTTGAGGAGGAGAAATGTGTTAATGAAAACATGATGAGTGATAATCGAAAAGTGATGATGAATGTGATTTTTTTCAAAGCTAGCAACTCTCATCAAAACCAATTTACAAAAGTTAAAAGATGACATAAAAATAAAATTTCAATAGCTTTATCTTAAATACCTGCAAATGAATTGACCACAACAAAAACAATGGAATAAATAATTATAAAAAGAAATAAACAAATAAATATATTAAGTAATAAAATGATAATAATCTAGCACACAAAAATACACCATGCCATGCTGTTTCATGCACAAAGGGGTAAGGGGTGTTCAAGCCTCAAATCTCACACCACCTACCTCAGGTCTTGGAGAGTTCTCCGCTGAGCTGATTTCTTCCTTCAGATCTCTGGCCATACTTGTACCTGCTACTTCTTCCTTTCTCTCAGGTTGTTCAAGTCCACAGTCCTCAAAACTGACATCATCAAATTCTCCTAGACTTCTAGAACTACTGGGCACATCAGGCAAGGTATGTTCAGAGCATTCCAAGTCGGATTCTAAACTAGATAGATCTAAGTCTAACATTTCTACGTCCCCCAGTCTCTGGTGCTGGGAAACTGAAAAGTCTACAGGCGCCATCTGGTGTCTGGGACTAGAAGGGAACATGCTATTGTCTCTAGGTAACATGTCTAGTCTATCATCAGTAGAAGTAATTGCCATGCAGCTATCAAGGTCAGGCTCAATACTCACTTTATAATCTTTTTTCTTGGTATACAAGTTCTGTTTGATAGGAGCACTGCCTTGTTCTTGGTCTGTTTTGGCAGTACGTTTCATATCTCTCTTTTCCTTACTGACAGAACTCGGCAAGAATGTGGCATCCCCAGAACTCAGTCCTAAACTGGAATGTGGTCTAGGAGGTGGTTTAGACTTTCCTTTCTTTTTCTTTTCTGAACCTTTTCTTGTCTCATTTTTCTTCTCATCATTATCATAAGAAAGGGGAATTTCACTATCGTCTTTACTTATTGACCTAATCTTTTTTATTTGATTGTCAGACTTGGCACGAGAGAAAGCTGGCTGTGGATGGTGTGACACAGAATCATTTCTCCTATTTATAAATGGCTCAACACAGTCGTTGTCCATTTGATATTTTCTGAGATATTTCTCATATTCTTCTTTAACATGTCTTTTTGGTTTCTGTCTGCTACTACTACTACTACTTGGCACATACATTTGTTCTTCTAACTGTTGGTGCTGGACGACTTTCACAACATCTGTTACTGTTCCTAAATCAGATTTACTTTTCCCTCGATGTTTTTTCGATGTATGTTTGGAGGAATCTTTTGGGGTACTCTCCCTATCTGATGCTTCCACCAGGGTGAGGATATCATCATCCTGACTTTGAGATTTCCTGGAATGTTTTCTGTGTTTCACTTTATCCATGTTGTCATTGTCATGGTTACCTGCCTGTTCTAGGAGATGAGCCACATTCCCCAGGTCTGACTTGCTCTTTCTTCTTCGATGAGGCTCAGTTACAATCTCATCAGAGAATGTCACCCTGGGGCTGCTTTGGCAACTTTTATCAGATTTACAGCGTCGGAGCTTTTCTTTTTGTATGTCTGCATCATGCAGAGCATCTTCAATTTCTTTTAATGATGAAGGGATTTTGGTTTTTGATAAATGGTTGTCCTGATCATCCAGTGATTTTGACCTATGGTGTTGGGACTCCTGCTGTCCAAATAATTTCTGCATTGACTTATATCCCCTGGGGGAATTACAGTGACCTCTGTCCACTGACTGTCCAGTCTTTGTCATTATCTTTGGAACAGTAGGGTTAAGGGCTTGCACATGAATTTCCCATGATGACTGGGGTGAAGCAGTATTGTCAGATGTGCTAGGTGAGACAGCTGCATTGCGTGGAGATGTTCTCAAGTAAGATTTAACACCAAGATCTATTGATGGGCTGTTTAAAGTGTAAGTTTGCCCAAATGGAGTTGGAGACTCGGGTCTTAAGCTATTAGAGTGGTCTCCATGGGGTCTAGATCCTTTTAAGAGGAATGTGTCTGCATCTTGTCCATCTTTTGCACAGCTCTTTAGATCAAATGTAGAGCTTGATGTTGTCATGGAAAATGAAGAAGGAAATGCCATTTCATCATTTGAGCAATGGTCAGGTAAAATACCAGCAATATTAGGTACAGAGCCTCCATATTTTCTTCTCAGTTTGAACTCCTCAAAACTTGGAATGTGAAATTTAGTCTTCCAGGGGACAAGCCTTTCAGGTTCAGAATTTGACTTACTGAGAGATGACCTGGTTGAGGATGCCTCCACTAAATCGTTATCAAAACCACGAGACCATTTCTCAGGTGTTGGCGGTAAACTCTTAGAAACTCCCTCACCAACATTATCCACTAAATCATAACTATTACATTTCCCCTGCTGAGCAAAGAGCTGTCGTTTTGCTGTAGCGGCTGACAGTGTTGAAGGACTCCCGTCTTGGTTGTCACTTGCTGTGGGACTGGGCCTATTCTGTTGGCTTGTATTCTCACCCACTTTCACATTAGCCACTAGGCTTAACGAAGACTCTGAAAGCGAAATAGGTATTCTACCAGAATACTGACTAATTTTTGAACTTTCATTCATGATATGTTTTGATTTCCTTGTGCCATCTACAATTCCTTCAACATCTTTGTCCTCATTTGGCATGATATAGTTCTTGTTGTCTGGACTGTGAAATAAATCAAGTTGTGTCTGTGTCAGAGGATAATCACCAGTTTGAAAGCCACTTTGTGCAAATTGAGCATTCCTTGATTTGTCTCTTAAATACTTTGTTATCAAGTCTTCCGTGTTCAAATTGTAAGTAACAACTTGGTCCCTTTTTGATTCAATATTTTTGATTGGTGATGATTCTTTAATGCCATATTTCTGCTTGTATTCCTTAAGGTAATCTATTTTGCCAGCTTTTCCTTGTAGATTATCCACCGAAGAAGAGCAATTCTCTTGAGGTTGGCGGTCCTTTGATGTTTCATTGATTATAGTAATCTCAGTTGCACCTGACATTTCTAATGTCTGGCAGCTGGGAGACAAATCATCAGTTTCCACAGATAGCGTTTCCGATTTTTCATTAATATAACCACTGTCAGGTTTATTTTCATAATCAATCTGGCCGTTTGGAGACAAAGCAATTTCGGATTCTTCATTCTGTATCGCATCCTTGGGAACAGGATATTTACCATTTTGCTCTTGGATATCTATTTCAAATGAGTAAGACTCATCACTTTCCTCCAAGTCTACCTCTAACTCTGCTGCATGCTGTATCCTAAGCCGCCTCTCCTCTGCAAGTAGCCTCTCCGTCTGTTCTAGCTGTGCCTTTATGCGTTCTGTTATATCTATTTGCTTTAAGGCAGCCATTTTTGTTCTCTGTTTTATAATGTCGAAGTAGCTGTGTATCTGCCCCTCCGTTCCTCTCGGAGAGGGTTGTTGGTCTGCAGCTTGCACACCATTATTTGAATTATTTTTGTATATTTCCAATTTAGTATCTGAATTATTTCCATAACTTCCTTTCTTTGAACAATTTGAAGTTTTGGGGTGAGATTGACTCACCCCATTTTGTTCAGATGTCCTTAGTTTAATTTTCAAAGATCTTTTTTGGCCATGTTTTGAGCTGGAAATTCTTGCTTTATCGTTTGTTGTGGCAGATTTTTTGCTTGAAACCACATCTCCACAGTCATTTTCTAACTGATTGAACTTTAATTTGCCACAGCATGAAGTGAAATCAAAACTTTTTGTATTTTGCTGCTGACATTCAGAATGAGACTCGACAGCCTTCTCTTTTGCTCTTATTTTTCTGTTTTTTCCTTTGCTCTTGTCATGTTTCTGTCGTCTTGATTTGTTCTCAGTCTCAGGGTCCCAGTGAGAGCTTGTGTCGAGAGCAGTCTGGTGATGTGGATGAAATCTATCATTTGATTGGCTGAATTGATCGTCTGCTTGGGCCAACACAAATGAATACCTGTCAATCAGTTCTTTGCTTGACCATCTGGTCACCTGCTGCTCTGGCACATCAAACCTCACTTGTTTAACTTTTCTTTTTGTCTGAAAATGAAAAATTTCCGACATTTTAAACAAATCTGTAAAGACATCTTCAGAATTACAGTATTCTCATGGAAAAAAAATTAAGTACAGCCAACAGCTGGCCACTGCAAGTGTGTAGCTGACAATATTTTTGTCTCAATGTCTTTAAATCTTAGTGGCTTAATGTGGAAAACTGCTTGAAAAACACATACATCAACTTCTCCCTAAAGATTCTAGGATCTTTAACTCTCACCACATATATTTCCAATGTACTAGAAATTTCAACAAATTCTCTTAATGCTTAAATCTTTCATTCCCATCACTCTCCATCTTTCATTGAATAAAACAGGCAGGAGTAGCAATCTATGACCCTAAATTTTGGGAGTGTACAAATCTATTCATTTGAAAATGGCAGAACTGGGTCAGGCTACACTTCACTGCCTTGTGTACCAGGTCACTGACGTCTGGCACGTACATGAACACTTACAAACCAGGATGATTGAAAATTATGTTTGCGTTGACAATAATGATGACTGAGTTGTTATCATATGTTGTGCGCTAGGTCCTTTTAGGATATTAGTCACTTTCTGTTCCATTCATTGGGCATGACCAATATGCTAAAAAAATATGTAAAAATGCAGTGAACTAGTGCCTCAGCTGGTAGACACAAATAACATAA